GCGTGCCCGTGTCAGGGAGCCCTTGCCGATGCCGTCACCAAGAGAGAGGACAGTCTCACGCAGCCCGCCCAGGCGCAGTGCCACCCCAGAGGACGAGGGAGGCGAGGATGATGCTGCGAGCTCTGTCGACTCGGAGCTGCAGGCGGAGTCGGGGGAGGCCGACGCGGGCACGGGCAGCGAGGCCAGGATGGCGGCGCTGAGGGCCTGGGCCATCCCGATCAAGCGCGATGAGGACGACGCGGCGGAGATGGCCAGGAGGAACGAGGCGTGGCAGAGGCTAGGGACGCCACGGGAGGGCCTCAGCCGGGGGCCGCCTAGGTCTGAGCGTTCTCCATCGCCTGGGCTATCGGCGCCGAGCTCCCCGCCGCTCCACACATCGCGGCAGGCCGAGGCGGAGGAGCGCCCGGCCTACGCGCCGCTGCCCGGCGAGGACGTATATATCAACCCGCGCGCGGTGGCGCGCTACCTGGCGGACAGGCGGAGCTCTGGCAGTGCAGGCCCGGGCGAGAGGGGCGTTCGCACCCATCTCGAAGCCATGGCACGGGATGCCATGCATGGCTAAGGCCGCCGTCGCGATCGAGGTGGGGACCGCAGGCGCGATAGCGGTGGAGGAGACGACCGCAGGAGCGGGTGCCTCGAGCAGGCGCAAGCTGAAGAGGAGCTTGAGGCGCCGGCGAGGAGGTGGAGCTACCCCGAGCAGAGAGGCGGGCGGCTCGACTGGGCCCTGGCAACCATGGGTGCAGGCGAGGAGCATGACCGCAGATCGGGGGCCGCCTCGCATAAGGGCAAGAGAGGCAGCAAGAAGGTCTGCGGCACGTACGAGAACAAGCCGCCCAACCTCCTTGGACCAGAAGTAGTCCGAGCGAGTGCCCGCCCGGACGACCTCACTCTGACGGACCTCAAGACGCGCGAGGACTGGGAGAAGGCCAAGCTCGAGCCCATTCTCGACAAGCTGGTTAGCTCCACGATCAAGTCGTACAGCATTGGCTGGAGGTGGTGGACTGACTCTCTTCTGCCGCACGAGGGGAATCAGTCCAATCCGCGAGATCGCGCCAGAGAGCAGGAGGAATGAGGAGGAGCTGCTGCTGGAGTTCGTCATCCACTTGGCGCGCCGAGGCTGCAAGAAGGCGGGCGGCATCAAGCAGTGCCTGCGCTCGGTCCGAGCCCAGCACCTCGCGCTCGGCATGGGCGACATCACGGAAGGCGCTGGTAGGCTCTGGATGGCGATCGACGGGCTCAGAAGAAGGGATGGCGGCACCAAGCGCAAGAAGCCAGTCAGTCCCCGCATGATGAGGTGGATCAGGCGGAAGCTGCAGCCAGAGAGGTCGAGAGAGGGCGCAGTTCTGTGGGTTGCGGTGGCTACGGGCTACTTCTTCCTCCTGAGGGCCAGCGAGTACGTCTCGAACGATCAGAACGGCTACGTGGGCAACAGAGGCCTTCGGGGAGCTGGCGTCACCCCGAAGGCGAGCGGCGAGCCGACCCGCGCGTGGGGCGAGGCGAACGAGGTCGTCATCAAGATCCGGGCCGGCAAGACCGATCAGTACAACAGGGGCGAGTGGCGCAAACACTTTCGTATCGTGGCTTCGGAGAATGCAGATCGAGCTGAGCGCATCTGCGTGGTGGAGGCGCTCGAGATCTATGCTGGTTGGGCCAGCGAGAGGTTCTCGGGCGCGCAGATGTACGACCCCCTGTTCGCTTTTGACGACATGCGCTTGGTGACGCGCGCTGACGTCCAGCGCGTGGTGATGCAGTCGGCGGCGGCGGAGGGCATGGACCCGAACGACCTGGGGTCGCACAGCCTGAGGATCGGAGGGGCGTCGGCATTGTACGCGGCATTCAAGGACACCGCTCTGGTGCAACGCTGGGGCAGGTGGAACAGCGACGCTTTCCAGGGGCACCTGTGGGAGGCGCGCGGCATGGCAGAGGGGGTCGCCAGCAGTATGGCGGCCACCGACATCACGATGGTTTGATGAGTTGCGCAGTCGCGTTGGCCGGAGGCTCAGAGCGCGTGGGCAGCAGGGCCGATCAGGCCAGCGCTGAGAGCGCAGGGGAGCTTCGAGGCCGGCAATGCGGCGCTAGGCATAGCCAGGAGCGCTGGGCTGTGCGGGGCTAGGCCCCCCCGCCAGTGCGCGCGGGGGCCCTCGAGGTGGGCCCCGCGGCGCGCTGAGAGAAGACCTGGTGCAGGACGCGCCAGAGGGGGCGGCGCTGCGCCGCCAGGAGAGCACGAGGGGGGTCCAGCGGCGGCGGGGCCGCCGCCGCAGAGCTCGTGCCTGCGGGATGGACCGCAGGCGCCTTGATGCCAAAAAGTGGGGTTCGAGGCAGCTTGAGGAGGGAGAGGAGGTTTGCGGAGGCGGCCTGAGGGCTCAGGGCCATCAGGCCCAGGCGAGCCCGATCCGCCCGGGGGCCCAGAGGCGGAGAGTACAGGAGGAAACGTGATCGTTCGTGAGAACAGTGGGTTTCCTCCCGCCTCGTAGCCTCTCCTCTGCTTGTCTTCTCCCGC